TCCTGGCGTTGCAATGCTCTACCAAGATGTATGACAAGGTTATAAATGCTTTGTGAAGCCTCAATTTAATATGATTTATAAAGCCTTTACTAAGTGGTGCTTATGTCACATAGTTATGCCACATTTATGAACCCTTTATAGAGCATGACTTATGGTTATAGATCATTTGTGACACATTTATGTAGTTTTTATGAAGCCTTTATAAGCTTTATGCCATTTAAAGTGGGACCATTGATCATGGCTTTGAACACACACACACACACACACACACACACACACACACACACACACACACACACACACACACACTTCCTGACACCATCCAAGGCATAATGACAGGGGGAGTAAGCCAGGATAGACCAGCCATGCTGCCAGTGATCATTGGCTTCCCTTCACAAAAGGCTTTGTGCCCGCTTCACATGGCAGATTACTGATGCAAATTGGATCTCATGAATAGCTGATGGATAGCTGTGAATATCAGCATTCATTGAATTAATTGGCTGTCACGGACGATTGATGTCGCGTAGATGTGTCAATGGGACAAACAGAGTTAGTGAGAAGTGAAATCCTCTTTATCAGTCAAAGGTGTGCCTATCGCATGTCTTTAGTTCTTATAGTACTTCCAGTATTTACCCCTATAGGCGCAGACAGCCAGCTCATTACCTATGCATAGGGATATATTGGGTGATTGAAGTGGTGACAACAACGGTGAAATATTTGGGCTGCGTGTTGCAGGGCTCTTGGCAGATAGTACGCTTGAAAGTTGCCAAGTATTGCACATCGTTGTAGTTCTAAAATATTTATTATTACCATTGAGTTCAGCTCCCAGTACTTTGTCTACAGATCTCATTACAGAAGTGGAGGTGTGAGGAGAAAACTGAGTCTGCTTGGTGTTTCATGGACAGTGGAGGTGTGAGGAGAGAACTGAGTCTGCTTGGTGTTTCATGGACAGTGGAGGTGTGAGGAGAGAACTGAGTCTGCTTGGTGTTTCATGGACAGTGGAGGTGTGAGGAGAGAACTGACGCATCTTGGTGTTTCATGGACATGTCAGATTGAATGTTGAGTCAGATTGTCAGATTGAATTGAGAGAGAGAGACAGGGGATAAGGAGAGAGAGAGCGAGAGAGAGAGAGAGAGAGATAGAGGAGAGATAGAGAGAGAGAGAGAGGAAAGAGAGAGAGAGAGAGAGAGAGAAGAGAGAGTAGAGAGAGAGGAGAGAGAGACGAGAGATAGAGAGAGAGAGAAGAGAACGAGAGAGAGAGAGAAGAGAGAGAGCATAGAGACAGAGAGATAAGATATATATATATAGCGAGAGAGATCGATAGACTATAGAGATATGTATAAGAGAGAGAGAGAGAGAGGAGAGAGATCTAGATATACAGACGACAAGATAGACAGAGAGAGAGCGAGTATCCTATAGGGGCTCTCACTCCTCCTGGGCCTATGGAAGGACCGGAGGCAGTGTCGCCTGAGGACCACTAGCCATTGCCAGAGAGCTAGAGACTTTTCAGATTAATTGAACTGATTGATTGTGGCTTTTATTAGCAGCAGGTAGCATCTGGGGAAAACCTGTGCAAGGGCTTTATACTGACATTACAGATAAGATCTAACGTGGGAATCAACCTAATAATGACGTTCTTCGGACGTCTGTCACTGTCACGGATCCCCCCCCCCCGTAACCGATCCCCCCGGTCAATCCGTTCACCACGCTCGGAGGTTTCTACATACGGGCCTTCCCTAGGCCGTCACTGCCCGGGTTCATTCCACCAAACCCTGGGGAATCCGTGACGTCACATGTTGTTGGGATATTAAGCAATATAATCTTAATTACAAGACGGAATATACTAGCGTTTTCACCGTAGTGGTCAGAATGTAGTAAAATAAAATAGTGAAGATGATAACAATCAATAGCTAGAGTACACACGTGACAACATAACCATACAAACACAATTAGCCATGTCATCACCTGTGGCAGGCCCATCATTATTGCACTGCACTGTTAAGTCCTCATGTCTCTCATAGTCTCATCTATTTAGTGTCTGTTTGTTGTACATGTCTGAATCACCACTATAGAATTGCGGAGGGGGGGGGGGGGGGGGGGGGGGGGGGGGTGGGGGGGGGGGGGGGGGGGACAATAAAGTTTGTTTTGAATTGAATTGAATTGAACCCGGTTGATTTTGGACAATAGCGCCCCGTTGGTGTTCAGTTCACCAGGTGTGACTGTGAACTCTATGGCTGTTGAAAGCAGAGTTATCCAATAGTCCCTGACCTATATGTTGTTTTGTACTGTATGTTGTTCTACACTAGAGACTGCGCTGCAGCTGTGCTAGTGGGAGATGTAATGTGAGACAAGATAAATAGTTTCATCCGGCAAACACAACAAAAACAACACGTTTATTTTCTAATTTTCCATTTTGACATTTCCGCAGGGAGCCAGTGGACAGTGTTGTTTTGGGTTGTGTTTTTACCCCTCGGCCAAGGGAGAGATAGAGAGAGGGGGAAAAGAGAGAGCGAGAGAGAAGAAGAGGAGAGAGAGAGAGAGAGAGAGGAGAAAAAAGGGGGAAAAGAAGAAGGGGGAAATGAGGGGGCAAAGGGAAGGGGAGCAGGTGCGGGGGGCAGAGGAAAAGGGCCCCGGGAGTTTGAGCGCGCCGCGGGGTTTCGGCGGGTTTTTCGGTACCCGGGGGCTTTCCCCGGGATGCATTCGATCGGCTTCGGGCGGTTACATCCTCCCCTAATCCGCCCGGGGCCCCGCTCTTTCCCCCTGGTGTCGTGTTCTTCTCCCCTTTTCTTCTCGGGCTCCTCTTCCTTCTAACCCCCGCGCCCTCTAGTGTGCGGGGCGGAAACCTCTTCCCCCTTCTCTACAGCACCCTCCCCTTTTGTAGCCACTAAGTGAGCTGCTCCCCTTTGCGGAAGTAGCCTCCCAAATTTCGTTCCTCTTATAAATGGTTTCCCTCTCTCTCCTTATTTCCGTTCGGGTCCTATTCCCTCTCCTTCTCCTTTTTTCTGTCGTTTCTCTTTATTCGTTTGCCCTCAGCCCTTTCCAATGTGGGGCGAGGAAAGTCAATTCTCCTCCTTTCCTCCGTCATCTCTCTTCCCCATTCTGTGGTTTATCTATCGTAGGGACAATATAATCTTTTAAATTTTTTTACAGTACCTTCCCCTTCGCTTTTTTTTCCTCCCTACCCCCACATTCCATATTTTCCCTTTCATTTCATTTGATTTTAATTTGCCCAGCTTAAATTTGTAGTTTTTCCCTTCTCCCCCTTCTTTCCCCTCCCTTTTAAACCCTTTTTCCCTTGGCCCCCCCTTTTCCCCTTTTTTTTCCCCCCTTTTTTTCCCCCCCCCAAAATCTTTCCCCTTTCCCCCCCCCCCCCTTTTTTTCCTTTTTCCCCCCTTTTTTTCCCTTTCTCCCCTCCCGCCCCCCTCTGTCTCGCTCTGCGGGTCCCCTGTCCTGCCAGGCTACCGGGGTTCGGCGTTTCCCCGTGCGCGTCTTCTCTATTTTTTCCCTTATTTCTCCTTCTCGCCACTTTTGATCTCCCTCGCTGCTTTTTGGCTGGTGCGCTATCCTCTCGATCTGGTTTTTCCCCGGGATTGCTCTTAACTCTCTAAATTGCCCCTTCTGCGTTCGCCTCTCTTCCTTCTTCTCTTGTCTTCCCTCTTAATTCGCTCTTCTCGTCTCTATCTCTGCGCCTCTTCTCATCTTATTCACCTCTCTCCTCGCTCTTCTACTGGTCGTATACAGAAGCGGAGATACAGCTATGAAAGAGTCTTACTAGGAGCCCAAAAACTCCTCCTTGTCCCCAAGCTTATTTGTCCATTGTCCGTGGGTGCAATGATCATTAGGGGCAATATATATTTAGCACAATTTAATTTAACCTACGGCCAAATAATACCCCCGATATCCCCCCTAAAGAACTTCACCATCACCAGAAATTAACATCCCTTTCAATAGAATATCAATTTGATTTATGCAAATTGTGCCGCTGGTGGGGAGTTTTCAGTCCTTACGTGTCACCTCCTGTTAGTTATAACTGCATACCACTAAAATAAAACAAAACAAAATACATATTGCCGAATTGTCCCAAAAGACCCCCCCCAAAAATAGTACAGCTTATTCAAACTCTCTTCCCCCAGTGAATGAGAAGTTTGGGAATGTTGCGTATCTTCAGAGTATCTGTAGACTGAGACGTGTTCCTTGCCTTGTCTATAGCCCAGAGTCTGGGAGCACGCCAAGCCAAGGCTGCTTCTGAACCACTTATAATGAGTTCCCAGTAGTCCCACTGTACAGTCCTGTTCGTCTGCCACATTCCTCCCTAGAACAATCTGAGTGTATGTCTTCACATATTCACTGTAAGATTCCTCCAACAACACAGGCTTGTAATCTTATCACACTGCCTATTCGGATACTTCGGTATTTTGGGTAGCATATCATTAGCTTAGCACAATTGCTGGAACTCTATGGGTATCTAGTAGCCAGCTCCTCTCAAAAGCAGGGAAATAGACCTAAATACTCAAAGGCAGGGTGGTCAGCACTTTGTACTCTTAAGTATTCTTTACAAGTATATATGAAAATATAATATTTTTTTATAGTTGTTTGAAAAACATTTCTTTTTGGAACTATTCTCTATGCATTTTATTCATCCGCTGTGATAATGGAGCAAGGATAGGCTGGAGAGGCTGTGCACGAGGGTCAACACAGCCGGCCAGCTGGGACAGCGGGACAGCGGCAGTTCTGAACAAGTTTGCTGGCTAGATATCAAGTAAAGAGGTTGCAGACTCGACTCAATTTCCTGGTTGGGGGTAATCATCTTCAGCCTGCTGTGGAGAGCAAGGAGAATTTGGCTATGGAAGAGAAGAAGAAGAAGAAGAAGAAGAAGAAGAAGAAGAAGAAGAAGAAGAAAAAAGAAGAAGAATAAAGAAGAAGAAGAAAGAAGAATAAGAAGAAGATAAGAAGAAGAAGAAGACGAAGAAGAGAAGAAGAAGAAGAAGAAGAAACGAAGAATGAAGAAGAAAGAAGAAGAAGAAGAAAAGAAGAAGAAGAAGAAGAACGGAGAGAGAAGAGAGCCGGGAACTATGGCTCCCTATAGACCTGGGGTTCAGATGTCTCCTGGACTATAGAACCAATGTCTCCCTATAGACCCTGGGGCTACAGATGTCTCCCTCCCTGACTATAGAACCATGTCCCCCCTATTAGACCTGGGGCTCTCAGATGTTCTCCTCGACTATAGAACCATGGTTCTCCCTATAGACCCTGGGGCTATCAGATGTCTCCTGGACTGATAGAACCATGTCTCCCTATAGACCCTGGGGCTCTCAGATGTCTCCTGGACTATAGAAACCATGTCTCCCTATAGACCTGGGGCTCTCAGATGTCTCCTGACTATAGAACCATGTCTCCCTATAGACCTGGGGCTCTCAGATGTCTCTGACTATAGAACTGTCTCCCTATAGACCTGGGGCTCTCAGATGTCTCCTGACTATAGAACCATGTCTCCCTATAGACCTGGGGCTCTCAGATGTCTCCTGACTATAGAACCATGTCTCCCTATAGACCTGGGGCTCTCAGATGTCTCCTGACTATAGAACCATGTCTCCCTATAGACCTGGGGCTATCAAAATGTTCCTCCTACTATAAGAACCATTTCTCCCTATAGACCTGGGGCTATCAGTTTCCTGACTATAGAACCCCCAATGTCTCCCCTATAGACCTGGGGCTCTCAGATGTCTCCTGACTATAGAACCATGTCTCCCTATAGACCTGGGGCTATCAGATGTCTCCTGACTATAGAACCATGTCTCCCTATAGACCTGGGGCTCTCAGATGTCTCCTGACTATAGAACCATGTCTCCCTATAGACCTGGGGCTCTCAGATGTCTCCTGACTATAGAACCAGTTCTCCCTATAGACCCTGGGGCTCTCAGATGTCTCCTGACTATAGAACCGTTGTCTCCTATAGACCTGGGGCTCTCAGATGTCTCCTGACTATAGAACCATGTCTCCCTATAGACCTGGGGATCTATAGACCTGAGGACCAGAGTTGGGAAACAGAGTTGGGAATGGAAATCCACAACGTGTCCACAAGGATTCTTTGATGATTGGAGTGCGATTCAAGGAAAACGTTTTTTTTTTTATTTTTTCTGATCTGTTTGAGGTATCTGGGTGGGTGGAGAGTAAGCTAGGGAATATGCAGTCAGTCAAGGTAGCGAGAAGTGGATTCATGATGATACGGTGTACATCAAGCCTGACGACTAACCAGGAGAGTCTGGCCATGATGCTGTGCTTTGAGTTGGAGCTTCTCCCTGATAGGGTGATGTTAGGATCCAGTATATGTATGTTCTTGTCTTAAGATTGTTTACACTGGATTATCTTCTCCTCTTTCCTCATTTCAGGAACTCCAAGATTCAACACTGTCTTCCCAAAACAGTGGATCTCACAGCCAATATATCAGCCCACCACTCAAAGATTCAGGAATGACCTGATGGAGCAAGTCCTGCAGAGATGCATGGACAAATACTGGGAGACCCACATTTATATTTTAGCAGATGCTCTTATCCAGAGTGACTTACAGGAGCAATTAGGGTTAAGTGCCTTGCTCAAGGGCACATCGACGTATTTTTCAACTTGTCGGCTCGGGGATTCAAACCAGCGACCTTTTGGTTACTGGCACAACATGCTTAACCGCCAGGCTACCTACCACCCAAATCCTGTGGAAGAGGCCATTGTCTGGCTGCCAACATAGCCCCATCTTAAAACCCAGCAAGGAGGAGGAAATTATTATTTTATTGGGATCCCCATTAGCTTTTTCAGAATCAGCAGCTACTCTTCCTGGGGTCCACAAAAAAACACAAAACACGACAAGTAACAAAACACCTGATACACAATTGCAGCACACACATCAAGATAACTGCAGTACACATATCAAGATTCAAGGAAAACTTGGGCGGCTATTCTGACACCCACAACGAGCGTGACAGTTAGTCACATGTCCGTGGAACTTGTTCAGTTTATGTCTCAGTTATTGAATCTTGTTATTGTTCATACAAATATTTTTACACGTGTTAAGTTTGCTGAAGATAAACGCAGTTGACAGTGAGAGGACGTTTCTTTTATTTTTTTTGCTGAGTTTACCTAATAAAAACACACTAATGTAACATCATCTGTTAGCCTCTGGTCATTATAACTGTGCATCTGTATCATTTTATATAAATACACTGTAGGCTACTACTATACACAACAGCACCACCGTACCTACTTGGTTCTGTCTGTTGTATATTGGACCTTGTATTGATGTGAGTTGTGTGAATGTCTTGTCTATACTGTCTATGGTATATTTAAGCAATAAGGCCTGAGGGGGTGTGGTATATGGCCATTATACCACGGCTAAGGGCTGTTCTTAAGCACGACGCAACGCAGAGTGCCTGGACACAGCCCTTAGCCGTGATATATTGGCCAATATACCACAAACCCCAGAGGTACCTTATTGCTATTATGAACTGGTTACCAACGTAATTAGAGCTGTAAAAATAAATGTTTTGTCATCCCCGTGGTATACAGTCTCTGTCACGCCCTGGCTCTGGGGACTCTTAAATGTTGAGCCAGGGTGTGGATTTTCTATGTTTAGTTTTCTATGTTTGTGTTCTAGATCGTTTAGATCTATGTTGGCCAGGGTGGTTCCCAATCAGAGGCAGCTGTAGCTCGTTGTCTCTGATTGGGGACCATACTTAGGCAGCCTGTTTGGCACTAGTATTTTGTGGGATCTTGTTCCGTAAGGTTTGTTTTGTATTAACCTAGGACTTCACGTATCGTTTGGTTTGTTGTTTTGTTCGTGTTGTGTACGAAATAAAATGTACGCTTATCACGCTGCGCCTTGGTCCGTGTCTTCAGTCGACGGCCGTGACAGTCTCATATACCATGGCTTTCAGCCAATCAGCATTCAGGGCTCGAATCACCCAGTTTATAATTGACCTTGTATTGATGTGAGTTGTGTGAATGTCTCGTCTATACTGTCTATGGTACATTATGTGCAGTGATCTGTCTTGTGTTGTGATAAATAAATAATTGTATTTGCCGGATTGTCATGTCATTACAAAGGTCTACACTATTGACCTTTAGTTTTCAGATGTCACTGATCCATTGATCTGACTGCTTTATACTATACACTACACGATCATGTGGCAAACTGCAATGGATCAGTTACAGTAGATAGTAACACAGTAGATGGTGCTGGTTCAAACAGCATTTATTACAGTGAATTGACTAAATTGGTTAGGCCATGTTTGGCTGTGAAGATGAATCATCTGAGTGTAATTACAACAGGCCCATTACATCCTCTGCCTCCTTGAAATCCCATGTAGAATCCTGTCTGCGAGGGATATTAGTGGTGAATGGCACAAACAACACATGAAAGAAAGACTCTTCTGGGACTGACTGATAATATTACATACAGCCAGGGTATTGGGACTGACTGATAATATTACATACAGCCAGGGTATTGGGACATGACTGATAATAATACATACAGCCAGGGTATGGGACTGACTGATAATAATACATACAGCCAGGGTAGTTGGGACTGACTGATAATAATACATAGAGCCAGGGTATTGGGACTGACTGATAATATTACATACAGCCAGGGTATTGGGACTGACTGATAATAATACATACAGCCAGGGTATTGGGACTGACTGATAATAATACATACAGCCTGGGTATTGGGACTGACTGATAATAATACATACAGCCAGGGTATTGGGACTGACTGATAATAATACATACAGCCAGGGTATTGGGACTGACTGATAATAATACATACAGCCAGGGTATTGGGACTGACTGATAATAATACATACAGCCAGGGTATTGGGACTGACTGATAATAATACATACAGCCAGGGTATTGGGACTGACTGATAATAATACATACAGCCAGGGTATTGGGACTGACTGATAATAATACATACAGCCAGGGTATTGGGACTGACTGATAATAATACATACAGCCAGGGTATTGGGACTGACTGATAATAATACATACAGCCAGGGTATTGGGACTGACTGATAATAATACATACAGCCAGGGTATTGGGACTGACTGATAATAATACATACAGCCAGGATATACATCCCTGGACCCCACACCATCACCAATAATATTAAAGCCACCAGGAGCAGACACACACACACACACACACACACACACACACACACACACACACACACACACACACACACACACACACACACACACACACACACACACACACACACACAGCCCCCACCATGTGAATCTGAACCACCAGACAAATGACTGTGTTCCCCTGTCATGAACTTAACCCCCCGTGGTGAACATGCTAATCAGACCATCATGATACAGTGTGATCCAAGACCGTATGGAGATGTGGCCGGGAGGGAGGAGAGGATGAGAGAGAGAGAGAGGAGAGTGAGAGGAAGAAGGTAATATGAAGATTATAGATGTATATCATTAGATTAAGTTTATATTCTAGCCTATATCTATTATAGAGAGTGATCTGTCTCTTATCTTGTCTCTTTGCATCATTTACTTTCTCTTTGTGGTATTCTAGAGGTAGAGCGTATAGAGAGAACTGTTTCCCTCTTTTTCTCCTCCCCTATCTCTACCTCCCTCCTCCCCTGCTCCTCCTCCCCTATCTCTACCTCCCTCCTCCCCTATCTTTACCTCCCTCCACCCCTATCTTTACCTCCCTCCTCCCCTATCTCTACCTCCCTCCTCCCCTATCTCTACCTCCCTCCTCCCCTATCTCTACCTCCCTCCTCCCCTATCTCTACCTCCCTCCTCCCCTGTCTGTTTTACCTCTCTCCCTTCCTTCTTCCCTCCCTCCTGCCACCTCCCTCTCTCCACCACTACTCCCCCCACCCTCCTCTTTCTCTCCCTCAATCCTTCCCTCCCTGCATCTCTTCCTCTTTCCTTCCCTCCCCCCATCTCTTCCTCTTTCTTCTATGTTCTTCCATCTCTTCATGTAATAAAGCAGCGGCAGCAGCAGAGATGTTTTGATGCGTCCTCCAGCCCTCAGGCTGTTTCCATTCAACTGAGTTCGCAAACACACACACACACACACACACCACACACACACACACACACACTCACACACACACAACACATTGCACTGTCTCCATGGGCAGCAGGCTTCAGTATGAGTGGTAGTGACATCCCTCCCCTGTACCCCCAGGCCAAGGCCCATGCCAGCTGCCCTCCTGTCCTCCTCAGCCTCCTCAACCCCCCTGATGTCCACACAGTGCCCAGCTAGGCTGGAGGGATGGATGGAGAGATGGAGGAATGGAAGGAAGCAGAGCTTGTGGGAAATGGCCTTGGACAGGCACCAGACAGACATCTAGTAAAGGAGGCCAAACGACCTCTGCTCTTTCCTCCCACCTCCTCTGTTCTATCATCTGTTCTAACCCTCTCTCTCTCTCTCTCTCTCTCTCTCTCTCTCTCTCTCTCCTCTCTCTCTCAATTCAATTCAATTTCTCTCTCTCTCTCTCTCTCTCCCTCCCTCCCTCCCTCCATCCCCCTCTCTCCTTCAGCATAAGAGCTCCTTCTCTGCCCTAGGGCTGAAGGTCCATAGAGGACCATGGTCCCTGGTGGTGGTCTGGTGTGGTCTGCCTGTCAGCTCACATCACTGCTGTTTGGACACCGACAGCTCCTGTTTATCGTCAGGTGGTTCAAGGTGTAAAAATAACACATCTTAATATAACAGTGTGGTAAACCAATCTAATAAAGCCTTTTTAATTTAGCTGACAAAAGGAGTGCATAAAAATGTATGCACGCATGACTGTAAGTCGCTTTGGATAAAAGCGTCTGCTAAATGGCATATTATTACCTGAGCAGTAGCTTAATAACACAAGATAGATATTTGTCTCAAAATACAAGTTTATTTTTTTGTAGCCTATCAAAAACGAAATTCCCGTTAGATATTATGACATATTTTTTGGGGGGGAATAATCAAATCCTCAAGCTGCAGGATTATTTTACTCCTGAGACGAAACTGGTCAAATTAAGATCCGATATCTGTACAAACACCAACTGGACATTAAGGGACGTTGAGCCCGTTCTACTTCAACAGGGACGACTCCAAATGAAATTCATTTGCATCGTTATTGCAATCTCTTGATCTAATCCTTCCACGTAACAACACAACACACTCACAGGATAAAGCCTGAAATACTTTTTTAATCAGATATTACAACCAAATTTGGAATACTCCTAACTAATTATTCCATGACGCAGCATATTTAAATTGCTAACCCAGGAAGGATATCAAGAGGGTAGATTGCTTTCTCTGTATAATGGCCTTAGAGGATAAAATACATGTACACTAGAAACAAGAAAGAAGAACAAGATGGTGTGCTTCCTTCACTTTCCTGTTTACTAGCCGGAGAGAGGGAAGAGAGAGAGAGAGGGAGAGAGAGAGAGATAGAGAAGAGGAGAGCGAGAGAGAGAGAGAGAGAGATATAAAGCGAGAGAGAGAGAAGAGATAGAAATAGAGAGAGAGAGAGAGCAGCGCTCGCGCGCTCCAAATCTCTCCTCTCCCGCGCATCGCTCTCGCGTCATCTCGCTCGCTCGCTACGCGCTCTCGATCTCTCGCTCTCAGCGCTCCTCTTCTCGCTCCCCATGCTCGCGCCCTCCGGCGCGCTGCGCCTGGGCCCTCGCGTCTCCTAGCTCCGCCGCTCGCGCGCTCTGCCGCGCTTACCGCGCGCACGCGCTACGGCCGCGCGCGCTCACGCCTCGCGCAGCGCGCGTGCCCGCCTGCTTCGCTCGCGCTCGTCCGCCGCGCTTCCCCTCGCTCGTTCCGCTCCGCGCGCTCGCGCAGCTCCGCTGTCCGCGCGCCGTCCCCCGTCGGCCGCTCGCGCGCAGCGATCCGGCCGCGCGCGACTGCAGCCGCTCGCTCGGTCCGCGTCCGCGCGCCGTCGCGCCGCGCGGGCGCAGCGTCGGTCTACTCCTCGATGGGAAGAGAGAGTGAGAGTAGTGAAGATGGGCAAGTAGATCAAAACAATCTTGCAAATGTCTTTGTTTCCACACCTTATGACAAAATGAATTTAGGGTAATCTGCCAGTTCATCTGTGTTCAAAACACATTACAGCTCCACAAAGCAGCCAGAGGCAACACCTGTCCTGTCTGTCTGCCTCTGCCTGCCTGTCTGTACCAACACCACCATTTCGCGGTCTGTCTGGTCGTCTGTCTGTCGGTCTGTCCTTCGGTCTGGCCTGTCTGTCTGTTCGGTCTTCTGTCTTGTCGTCTGGTCTGTCGGCTGTCCGCCTGCCTCCCTTCCTGCCTGCTGCCTGCCTGCCGCCGCTGCCTGCCGGCCTGTCCTGTCTGTCGGGCTGTCTGGCTGCGGCCTGTAAGTCCGTGCTTCCACACTAAGAGGAGGGATCTGCAAAGACCTGCTGACAGCAGTTAGTTTGCCTGACAGATTCTGTAGAGTAAGCACCCCGGGACCATATGGATTCCGGGGATAATGGTTTATAAACCTGGCAAAAGAACGTTTTAATCCGCCAAGTACAGAACGAAACTTGGGGCCCTGTTTTCAAGTCAAGGTATTCACTATTCATCACCTTTTCTCCCACTCTTAAACGTTCTATACACTTTTTGTCTTCCTGTAACGCAGGACGGATACGCATCTTCAAATCACTTCCTCTTTCTGATATGGTGAGTGGCTCAGTTAAAACGTACAGGCATCAAGGTGTCATGTCTTGATGATAATAAGCGGGAACGTTTGTAAAAAATAGACACCACTGTACTTCACGACATTAGAAAACCTCTCAGATTACCCAGAGAGAGAGAGAGAGAGGTACCGGTGTAAATACCCACTGGGCACACACTGGTTGAATCAACGTTGTCTGCACGTCATTTCAACGAAATTATGTTGCGCCAACGTGGAATAGACGTTGATTTGACATCTGTGCCCGTCTCCCTCAACTTCTTACCGTACCAACCACACAACACCCACACACACAACACACACAACACACACCAACACACACACACACACCCACAGTCAAACACCCGTGCAACATGCCACTATACCCATACCCCCCCATCACCCTACAGTATTACCCACACCCATTATATAGTAACACCCCCCCACATCAGCCCCTAACAGTATAACCCATACAGGCCCCAGTATATATACCCCCCAATCCCCTACATATATACCCACAACACCCATATATATACCCCCCCATCACCCATACTTATATACCCACAACCGCCACAGTAAATATCCCCCCATCAGCCCACAGCCTCAGTCTTAACCCACACAAGCGCCAGTAATAAATATAACCCCCCCCCATCAGCCCTACAGTCTATCCCACAACGTACAATCGCCCAGTATAATACCATACACCCCAATCAGCCCTACATTATATCTCCCACCACATCCCCATATGGTCTCCCCCCCCCCAATCCGCCCTACAGTATACCACACAGCCCCAGTCGATATACCCCCCCAATCAGCCCTACAGTAAAATACCCACACAGCCCCAGTATATATACCCCCCCATCAGCCCTACAGGTATATACCCACACGCCCCAGTATATATCCCCCCCCCAATCAGCCTACATTATATACCCACACAGCCCCAGTATATATACCCCCCCCCCCAATCAGCCCTACAGTATATACCCACACAGCCCCAGTATATACCCCCCCAACCCAGCCCTACAGTATATACCACCACCCCAGTTTATACCCCCCAATCAGCCCTACAGTATATACCCACACAGCCCCAGTTTTATACCCCCCCCCCCAATCAGCCCTACAGTATATACCCCCCGCCCCAGTATATATACCCCCCCCAATCAGCCCTACATATATACCCACACAGCCCCAGTATATCAATACCCCCCAATCACCCTACATATATACCCCCAGCCCCAGTATATATACCCCCCATCAGCCCTACAGTATATACCCCACAGCCCCAGTATATATCCCCCCCATCAGCCCTACAGTATATACCCACCAGCCCCCAGTATATATACCCCCCAATCAGCCCTACAGTATATACCCACACAGCCCCAGTATATATACCCCCCAATCAGCCCTACAGTATATACCCACACAGCCCCAGTATATATACCCCCCAATCAGCCCTACAGTATATACCCACACAGCCCCAGTATATATACCCCCCCATCAGCCCTACAGTATATACCCACACACCCCAGTATATATCCCCCCCCCCCCATCAGCCCTACAGTATATACCCACACAGCCCCAGTATATATACCCCCCCCCATCAGCCCTACAGTATATACCCACACAGCCCCATATATATACCCCCCCAATCAGCCCTACAGTATATACCCCACAGCCCCATAATATAACACCCCCCATCATCCCTACAGTATATACCCACACGCCCCCAGTATATATACCCCCCCAATCAGCCCTACAGTATATACCCACACAGCCCCAGTATATATACTACCCCCCCAATCAGCCCTACAGTATATACCCACACAGCCCCAGTATATATACCCCCCCCCAATCAGCCCTACAGTATATACCCACACCAGCCCCAGTATATATACCCCCCCAATCAGCCCTACAGTATATACCCACACAGCCCCAGTATATATACCCCCCAATCAGCCCTACAGTATATACCCACACCGCCCCAGTATATATACCCCCCCATCAGCCCTACAGTATATACCCACACAGCCCCAGTATATATACCCCCCAATCAGCCCTACAGTATAGCTGTGGATTAAAGAGCCCACTCAGCTCGTTGTGACGGAGATAATTGAGGTCAGGATGTCAATGACGGTGTGACTCCTCCACTCCCAACTTGAATATTCTCCTCACAGCCAGCCAGCCCTCTCTCTGTCTACAGGCTTTCATTATACACACAGCTGTGAGAGAGGGATTCATGAAATATTCTCTCTGCAGAAAGACTAGTCTACTAGTATAGGGGACGGATAGAGAGAGAGAGAGAGAGAGAGAGAAACGAGGATAGAGAAGAGAGAGATGAGAGAGAGAGAGAGACGAGATAAGACGAGACTAGAGATAGAGATAGAGAGAGAGAGAGAAGAGAGAGGAGAGAGAGAGATAGATCCGACCGTAGAGAGAGAGAGAGATACAGAGATGAGAGACATAGAGAGAGAGAAGAGAGAGAGAGAGATAGAGTAGATAGAGCGATAGCGAAAGTAGATTAAGATAGAGAGAGAGAGATATATAGAGGTGATGAGATAAGAGAGAGAGAGAGAGCGAAAGAGAGAAAGACCCAGCTAATCAAGCCCAGGTGATGGATGGAGTAGAGAGAGATAGAGAGAAAGAGATCCATTCTGCTAGCCCAGATCATCTCTATAAAATAATGTCTCTATTTTTCTACTTAATGGTATTTTGCTCCTCACAGTGACTACCTCTCTACCTTACCATAGTTCCTCCAGAACCTGGAACACCAGTAACAGTTGACCATGTCTTAGAGTTGTTTTCTCAATCCATCAGCTTGTTTCAAGTTTCTTCTGTCTCATCTCCCTCCATAGTTGTTGTCATCCCTACATGGCTTTCTTGTTGATTTCTCATGCTTCTTCTATGACTAACATGGTTTTTAATCCTGATGAATCTACATGTTTTGTTTGATTGGGAGCCAACCATGTTGTTTTGCTAACATGGCTTCTTCTGATTGATCTAACATGGCTTCTGTTCTGATTGATCTAACATGGTTTCTGTTCTGATTGATCTAACATGGTTTCTGTTCTGATTGATCTAACATGACTTCTGTTCTGATTGATCTCACATGTTTCTCCTGTTTCTGATTGATCTATACATGGCCTTCTCTGTTCTACTTATCTAACATGGTTTCCTGTTCTGATTGATCAAAAACCATGGCATTTATCCTTCTTTTGGTTTGTTGGTTGGCACCAAACCATTCAGAGAGAGAAGGAGAATATGTTCCGGCACCTCGCGTCCCTCCTCTCCCATTGAGCAGGGGGCGCCGTGGGATTTATTTAAGATACATCCTGAATTATAAATGTTCGCCAGGCGTAAGGAGGGATCTCAGCCAGTTAACCATAAATGAGCTCACACATCTGTGTTAAACTGTGTGTGTGTGTTGTTGTTGATGGTTGGTGATGTTGAGAGTAGAAGTGGAGATTGGAAGGTCTTCTCTCTCGAATCCACCAGCTTCTTTCTGATTTCTCATGCTTCTCTCTTATCGTCAAGATGGTGCATGAAATTACTGATCTCATTCTAGCATCTCTTGCTTTGGCAGCATTCGTATTAGAGATGTCCGCCGTACACAGACAGGTTTATTGCACCCTGCCCCACAAAATGAGGTGAAACTGAGCTGCACTTCCTAACCTCCTGCCAAATGTATCACCCATTTAGAGACACATATTTCCTCATTAATACACATACCCAGAATTTGAAAACAAATCTCATATCTATTGGGTGAAATACCAGTGCCATCACAGCAGCAAGATTTGTGACCTGTTGCCACAAGAAAAGGGCAACCAGTGAAGAACAAACACCATATTAAATACAACCCATTTTGTACTTTAACTATCTGCACATCATTACAACACTATATATAGACATAATATGACATTTGAAATGTCTCTATTCCTTTGGAACTTTTCTGAGTGTAATGTTTACTGTTAATATTTATTGTACTTGCTTTTAACTATTTCATGTTAACATATGTTTCCCATTCCAATAAAGCCCTTTGAATTGAATTGAGAGAGAGAGAGAAAGTGTAGGGGAGAACCAAGGTTTGTAGTTAGTCAGAGACATATGGTGTCAAGTGAATCCTCTCCCCAATTCCAAAGGCAGTCCCCCCCAATACATTATATTTTAGGGCACATCGACAGATTTTTTTCACCTAGTCGGCTCGGGGATTAGATCCAGCGACCTTTCGGTTACTGGCACAACGCTCTTAACCACTAAGCTACCTGCCGCCCAATACCAAATGCAGTCTCCTCAATACCAAAAGCAGTCTCCTCAATACCAAAAGCAGTCTCCCCAATATCAAAGGCAGTCTCCCCAATATCAAAAGCAGTCTCCCCAATATCAAAAGCAGTCTCCCCAATATCAAAAGCAGTCTCCCCAATACCAAAAGCAGTCTCCCCAATACCAAAAGCAGTCTCCCCAATACCAAAAGCAGTCTCCCCTATACCAAAAGCAGTCTCCCCAATACCAAAAGCAGTCTCCCCTATACCAAAAGCAGTCTCCCCAATACCAAAAGCAGTCTCCCCTATACCAAAAGCAGTCTCCCCAATACCAAAAGCAGTCTCCCCAATACCAAAAGCAGTCTCCCCAATACCAAAAGCAGTCTCCCCAATACCAAAAGGCAGTCTCCCCAATACCAAAGGCAGTCTCCCCAATACCAAAGGCAGTCTCCCCAATACCAAAGGCAGTCTCCCCAATACCAAAGGCAGTCTCCCCAATACCAAAGGCAGTCTCCCCAATACCGCAGTCTCCCCAAACCAAGGGCAGTCCCCCAAAGCAGTCTCCCCATAGACCAAAAGGCAGTGCTCCCCCAATACCAAAGGCAGTCCTCCCCAATACCAAAAGCAGTCCTCCTCCCCAATACACAAAGGGCCAGTACTCCCCCAATACCAAAGGCCAGTCTCCCCAATAACCAAAAGGCAGTCTCCCCAAAACCAAAAGGCAGCGTTCTCCCCAATAGACCAAGGCAGTCTCCCCAATACCCAAGGCAGTCCCCCAATACCAAAAGGCAGTCTCCCCAATTACCAAAAGCATCCCTCCCCAAATACCCAAAGGCCAGTCTCCCCCAATACCAAAGGCAGTCTACCCCAATTACCAAAAGGCAGTCTCCCCAATACCAAAAGGCAGTCTCCCCCAATACCAAAGGGCATCTCCCCAATACAAAGGCAGTCTCCCCCAATACCAAAGGCAGTCTCCCCAATACCAAAGGCAGTCTCCCCAATACCAAAGGCAGTCTCCCCAATACCAAAGGCAGTCTCCCCAATACCAAAGGCAGTCTCCCCAATACCAAAGGCAGTCTCCCCAATACCAAAGGCAGTCTCCCCAATACCAAAGGCAGTCTCCCCAATACCAAAGGAAGTCTCCCCAATACCAAAGGCAGTCTCCCCAATATCAAAAGCATAATGTGTTCTGGCATCCACCTCTACAGTGTCTTAAAAGACAGGACATTCATCCTCACAGTGAAACGCCGTACCAGATGGTTGAACTACTGTTGCTAAGCAAACATAATAAGACTGAACTAAAGGAGCCTGATCGTAGCAACAGCATTATGGGATGTTGAATACACTGTCCAATACTAATCTCAGGTCTGATATCTGGTTGGTACATTCCAGATGGGGTTAAATGGGTTGAATGTAGTAGAAGGAATTGTGTGGAAGACTCGTTTGTTAGTCCAATCTGTGTTGATGAGCAATGTCCTTAAACAACTTCATATACAGGACATTCAGATACTATTCAGACCTCTTTACTTTTTACACATTTTGTTACGTTACAACATTATTCTAAAATGGATTAAATTCTTTTTTTTCCTCATCAAATCTATATACAATACCACATAATGACTAAGCAAAAACAGGTTTTTATTAATATCACATTTACATTCAGACCCTTTACTCAGTACTATGTTGAAGCACCTTTGGTGAAGCGATTAGAGCCAGCGATTACAGCCTCGAGTCTTCTTGGGTATGACGCTACAAGCTTGGCACACCTGTATTTGGGGAGTTTCTCCCATTCTTCTCTGCAGATCCTCTCAAGCTCTGTCAGGTTGGATGGAGAGCGTCGCCGGACAGCTATTTTCAGGTCTCTCCAGAGATGTTCGATCGGGTTCAGGTCCAGGCTCTGGCTGGGCCACTCAAGGACATTCAGAGACTTGCCCCCGAAGCCACTCCTGCATTGTCTTGGCTGTGTGCTTAGGGTCATTGTCCTGTTGGAAGGTGAACCTTCGCCCCAGTCTGAGGTCCTGAGAGCTCTGGATTAGGTTTTCTTCAAGGAACTCTCTGTACAGTGCTCCATTCATCTTTCCCTCCATCCTGACTAGTCTCACAGTCCCTGCCGCTGAAAAACATCCCCACAGCATGATGCTGACATCACCATGCTTCACCATAGGGATGGTGCCAGGTTTCCTCCAAACGTGACACATGGCATTCAGGCCAAAGAGCTCAATCTTGGTTTCATCAGACCAGAGAATCTTGTTTCTCATGGTCTGAGAGTCCTTTAGGTGCCTTTTGGCAAACTCCAAGCGGGCTGTCATGTGCCTTTTACTGAGGAGTGGCTTCCGTCTGGCCACTCTACCATAAAGGCCTGATTGGTGGAGTGCTGCAGAGATGGTTGTCCTTCTGGAAGGTTCTCCCAACTCCACAGAGGAACTCTGGAGCTCTGTCAGAGTGACCATCGGGTTCTTGGTCACCTCCCTGACCAAGGCCCTTCTCCCCCGATTGCTCAGTTTGGCCGTGCGGCCAGCTCTAGGAAGAGTCTTGGTGGTTCCAAACTTCTTCCATTTAAGAATGAAGGAGGCCACTGTGTTCTTGGGGACCTTCAATGCTGCAGAAATGTTTTGGTACCCTTCCCCAGATCTGTGCCTTGACACAATCCTGTCTCTGAGCTCTACGGACAATTATTTCGACCTCATGGCTTGGTTTTTGCTCTGACTGGTACTATCAACTGTGGGACCTTATATAGACAGGTGTGTGCCTTTCCAAATCATGTCCAATCAATGTAATTTACTGTAGGTGGACTCCAATCAAGTTCTAGAAACATCTCAAGGATGATCAATGGAAACAGGATGCACCTGAGTTCATTTTGAGTCTCATAGCAAGGGGTCTGAATACTTATGTAATAAGGTATTTCTGTTTTATATTTTTAATAGATTTGCAAAAATGTATTACAACCTGTTTTCGCTTTGTCGTTATTGGGTATTGTGTGTAGATTGATGAGGAAAGAAATTAATTTAATCCATTTTAGAATAAGGCTGTAACGTAACAAAATGTGGAAAAAGGGGAAGGGGTCTGAATACTTTTCCGAAAGCATCAATTGCAAAGGCCTGAAGTTAGACAATTAGGAACCTAACTAAATAACAACGATTCACAATCACAAATGATATAACCTTGTCTCCAGGGTTAACTAAGAGCTGCCTGGGGGATGAGATTACAACTGCCATGGTAACGGGTTGAATATTGGTGAGTATCCGGTCACAACACCAAGCCTCAAAGAAGATGCTGCTACGCGATTGAAGGATCGTTTCTGTACCCTCACCTGTGAAGGAAGACATCATACAACACTCAGACTGTAGATTTAACCAAATGTAAAGAATGAAACATTTTAAACAGATATCACTACGTCGGCATCCTCCGCATTGCTGTAGGGTGCAATTACATCGTACCACTCCACCGAGATACCTCTTCACCTCGCTACTCAAACATTTACATGGAGAAGCTCTTTGTAGTAGAATATTTTCTTTTTTTGAAAAAAAAAAGTTTGCCAACGCTAGCATTAATATTGAGGTCTTTATAGCAGCTGGTTCGTTGTGTGATGTTCTGAGAGATCTATCCGTGATTCAAAGATGGGTCATAGGAAGTACAGGAAATAGGACGGGTAACCTCTCAATAGATAGAACTTCAACAGTAGGACTGTACGATATACACTAGGGGAAACTTCAATGGAACTCTCACTCATATGTGTAAAATACACATTCAGTTTTTTTGGTTTATTGATAGGGAATTTAGGATATTCCATTGTGATATTCAATTGTTATTGATAGGGAATTTAGGATATTCCATGGTGATATTCAATTGTTATTGATAGTGAATATAGGATATTCCATTGTGATATTCAATTGTTATTGATAGTGAATTTAGGATATTCCATTGTGATATTCAATTGTTATTGATAGGGAATTTAGGATATTCCATTCCTTACTTAGATTTGTGTGTATTGGGTATATGTTGTGAAATTGTTAGATATTACTTGATAGATATTACTGCACTGTCGGACCTAGAAGCACAAGCATTTCGCTACACCTGCAATAACATCTGCTAAACACGTGTATGTCACAAATACAATTTGATTTGATTTGATTTGTAAGCACATTACATATTCTGGACAGACACAGACATTCCTGGGACTTGAAGGGTTAAGCTTCCTGCTTATTAGTATTTGCAGTCAGATTGATTAAATCAGTGGATTCACACAGAACCTGGTTTGCAGTTTGTGTTCAACCAGATTAGAGCCTTAATCCTTGGATGGATCTGTTAATCCACGGGGAGTGGTGTCCGTACACGCTACTCACGTTCTTCTCCTTCACTACACACACACACACACACACACACACACACACACACACACCACACACACACGCACACACACACACACACACACACACACACACACACACACACACACACACACACACACACACACACACACACACTCAGCATGGCTGCATGCATACCATACCATACCATACCATACCATGTCATACCATACCATACCATACCATACCATACCATGTCATACCATACCATACCATGTCATACCATACCATACCATACCATGTCATACCATACCATACCATACCATACCATACCATGCTGTTCTGGTGCTAGTGGATCTACTGTAATCCATCAATAATAGAGTGTATCTGATTACTATATGATTACAGAGGAGACTCTTGCACATATGTTGCAGATGAGATGAGTCAACCATTCGTTGGTAAAGCATAGCATTCTAATGCCATGTGGAGGGCTGAGAGGAGAGAAGGAGAGAGAAAGAAAAAAGAAAGAAAGAAAGAAAGAAAGAAAGAAAAAGAAAGAAAGAAAGAAAGAAAGAAAGAAAGAAGAAAGAAAGAAAGAAATAAAGAGAAAGAAGAATAGAAGAAAAAGAAAGAAAGAAAAGAAGAAAGAAAGAGAGAAAAGAAAGAAAGAAAGAAAGAAAGAGAGAAAGAAAGAAGAAAGACAAGAATAGATAGAAACAGAGAGACGAAGAAAGAAGAAAGAGAACTAAAAGAAAGAACAAAGAGAAAGAAGAAAGAGAAAGGAAGGTGACTTACATTGAGTCCTCTCTGGAACACCTGTTGTCCCATGACGTCTACCAGCATCCTACAGACGCACACCTGAAAGAATAGATAAGAGAAGAACACACTTGATCAATAATATAGGTTGAGTAACAATGTAACCTATGAGCTGTACATTACATTTTAGTTGACACTTTTATCCAGAACAACTTACAGGTGAAATTAGGGTTAAGTGCCTTACTCAACAGCACATCAGTTATATAGTCGGTTCGGAATTCGAACCAGCAACCTTTCGGTTACTGGCACAATGCTCTAAACCGCAAGGCTACCTGCTGCCCAGTACAATTCCATATAATGCTCTCCAAAGGCTTACTGCAGTGATATCGTGGTAGATATAACAGGAGGAGAATCAAGAAAACAAGGAAGGATGTATAAGTTCAGCTGTCCTAAACTGTAGATGTGATCATATATAAACCAGATCCCACTGAAAGGGCTCTTTAGCTGTCCTAAACTGTAGATGTGATCATATATAAATCAGAACCCACTGAAAGGGCTCTTTAGCTGTCCTAAACTGTAGATGTGATCATATATAAACCAGAACCCACTGAAAGGGCTCTTTAGCTGTCCTAAACTGTAGATGTGATCATATATAAACCAGAACCCACTGAAAGGGCTCTTTAGCTGTCCTAAATGTCACGATCGTCGGTAAGAGAGGAGGACCAAGGCGCAGCGTTGAATGCGAACATATTTATTATAGGTGATACACGATCAAAACGATAACGTGACAGTCAACGGTCTAACACAAACCAGCTAGAACAAGATCCCACAACCACTGTGGGCAAACAGCTTGTTTAAATGTGGTTCCCAATCAGAGACAACCAGCCACAGCTGACACTCGTTGCCTCTGATTGAGAACCACACTGGCCAACATAGAAATGGAACACATAGAATACAAATGAAACTCACACCCTGGCTCAACATACAAGTGTCCCCAGAGCCAGGGCGTGACAGTACCCCCCCCTAAAGGCGCGGACTCCGACCGCGCCAACTAAATACCACAGGGGAGGGACCGGGTGGGCACTCCGCCTTGGCGGCGGATCCGGCTCCAGGCCTGATCCCCGCTCCCTCTCCAACCCCCCAAAGTACCCCTGGTCCGGTCTGGCCCCGCTGGCCGGAGCTGGACTGCACACTGATGGAGCGGATTGCTCTAGCTCCGGCGTAACGCATCTGACCGGTGCCGGACCAGGCACCAGTAGAACAGGCACAGGCCGTGCCGGACTGACGACGCCCACCACTGGCTTGGTGTGGAGAACAGGCACGGGCCGTGCTGGACTGGCGACGCACACCACTGGCTTGGTGTGAGGAGCAGGAGCGGGCCGAACCGGGCTGTGCGACGCGCACCATTGGCTTGGTGCGGGAAGCAGGAGCGGGCCGACCGGGCTGACGATGCGCACCCCTGGCTTGGTGCGTGGAGCAGGAACGGACCGGACCGGGCTGACGATGCGCACCCCTGGCTTAGTGCGTGGAGCAGCAACGGGCCGGGCCGGGCTGACGATACGCACCCCTGGCTTGGTGCATGGAGCAGGAACGGGCTGGACCGGGCTGGACGACTCGCACCCCTGGCTTGGTGCGAGTGGCAGGAACAGGCCGGACCGGGCTGGCGACGCGCACCATAGGCTTGGTGCGGGGAGCAGGAACAGGCCGGGCCGGGCTGGCGAAGCGCACCATAGGCTTGGTGCGGGGAGCAGGAACAGGCCGGGCCGGGCTGGCGAAGCGAACCATAGGCTTGGTGCGGGGAGCAGGAACAGGCCGGGCCGGGCTGGCGATGCGCACCATTGGCTTGGTGCGGGAGCAGGAACAGGCGGACCGGGCTGGAGACTCGCACCATTGGCCTGGTGCGGGGAGCAGGAACAGGCCGGACCGTACTGGGGACACACACCACTGGCCCTACGCAGGGATCTGGAACGGGCCGGACCGGACTGGTAACACACCCCAGTACCTCTCGCCGTGCCTCTACAACCTTCCATCCCCTCTTCGAACCAGTGGCCCCCGTAACCTGGCGGCCTCCTCTGCCAACCCGCTGGGCCGCTCTGTCGCGGTCTCCTGCTGGCCCGTCGTCCACGGCGTTAGCCCCCCCCTAAAAATTGTATGGGCTTCACTCCTACCCGTGGACCAGGTCTCCATACTTCTCGCCAGCCTTTCGCCCTTCTGCTTCCACGTCAAGCCCCTCTCTTCCTCACCCGGCTTGACCCAGTCGAGGAGGCGCTGGATATCCGCTAGGGATTTCGCTGGCGATGGCTCCTGGACCCGCTGCTTGGTCCAGTTCTGGTGGGATCTTCTGTCACGATCGTCGGTAAGAGAGGAGGACCAAGGCGCAGCGTTGAATGCGAACATATTTATTATAGGTGATACACGATCAAAACAACAAAACGATAACGTGACAGTTCACGGTCTAACACAAACCAACTCGAAACAAGATCCCACAACCACTGTGGGCAAACAGCTTGTTTAAATGTGGTTCCCAATCAGAGACAACCAGCCACAGCTGACACTCGTTGCCTCTGATTGAGAACCACACTGGCCAACATAGAAATGGAACACATAGAATACAAATGAAACTCACACCCTGGCCAACATACAAGTGTCCCCATAGCCAGGGCGTTGACACTAAACTGTATGATGTGATCAATATAAACCCAGATCCACTGAAAAGGGCTCTTACTGTCCTAAACTGTAGATGTGATCATATATAACACCAATCCCACTGAAAGGGCTCTTTAGCTTGTCCTAAACTGTAGATGTGATCATATATAAAATCAGAACCCACTGAAGGGCTTCTTCAGCTGTCCTAAACTGTAGATGTGATCATATATAAAAAACCAGAACCCCACTGAAAGTGCTCTTTAGCTGTCCTAAACTGTAGATGTGATCATATTATAAAACCAGATCCCACAGCCTCATCCTAAGATACATGAGGATGATCTGTTCCCTTTATTAAAACCAGTGCTGCTGTCTATCATGTTGTTTATTTTAGTTGTTGAAGTCGAGAGGAGAGAGAGAGAGAGAAGAGAGAGGAGAGAGAGAGAGGAGAGAGAGAGATGAGAGGGAAAATTGATCCTTCCCCTCTATCCCTCTCTCTCTCTCTCTCTCCTCTCTCTTCTCTCTCTCTCTCTCTCTCTCTCTCCCCCTGCTCTCTCTCCTCTTTTCCTCTCGCTCTCTCTCTCCTCCTTTGCTCTCTCTCGCCTCTCTTCTTCCTCTTTGTCCCTTCCCTCTTTCCCCCATCCCTCCCTCCTCTCTTCCTCTTTATGTCACCACTCCCCCCTGTTTCTTCCACCCCTTTCCCCCGGTTATCCTTCTTCCCATTCCTTCCGGTGCCCTAAACCCTTATTTTCCCCTTCCCCTTTCCCCCCCATTTGTCTTTCTGGTTCCTTCCCCAAAAGCCAGTTCGGCGGTGTTATGCCGTTTCCCCTGTAGAGTTTTTTTCTTTAACCAACAAAGACTTTCCTAGTCTAAAAAATAAAAGCCCTGGTCTGTTGTAGGATGGGGACTACCGGGAAAGTTATACGGTGGATATAACACGGCAGTATCACTCAAATCGACCGTCCATCCACCCCCCCGGGTTTTTTGATCTACCTAACCCAAATGTACACCGGGATTGGGGGGAGCCGACTGGACAATCCCCAAAACCAAACACTCCAAACTAAATATTTAGATCCTCTCTGGTTAAAAAATTCAAACTCTACAGCTAGTCCAAATTATTGCTCGAAAAACCCGTCTACGTCAAATTTAAACACCCTCTCTTCTCCCGGAGGGACTTTCTCCTCCGTTCCACGTCCCTCTCTCCCCTTCCCTGTTCCTGTCCTTTAACCAACCGCCTCAGCTTCTACTTGGGGTCCTCTTTTCCCCCCCGCCCAGAACATGCCGACTGACCTTTTCCCAAAAACAACTAAAGGATTGATAGGTCCTTTGCCTTAGGGGGAAACCCAGGTCTTTCAAATTTTTTTTTCTCGGCCTCTCATGCTTATATTCAAGATACAAACTGCCATCTCACCCACCATCTGATTGGAGACCCCCTTTCCCCTGAACCTCTCCAAACCTTTTTTTCCCCTTTTCTTTCCCCTTCGTGTACAGTTAACCCTTTTGGTCACCAGGCCTGTTCACCCTGCACCATCAGAAGAGGAACACTACAAAGGGCCTGTTCACCCTGCTACCATCTAGAAAGACCTAAGGCCTGTTTACCCTGTACCCTCTAGAAGAGGAACTAAAAGGCCTGTTTCACCCTGCACCCCTAACCATCTAGAAGGAGGAGCCAACCACAGGGCCTGTTCACCCTGTACCTCTAGAAGAAGGGGGACCCTCAGGGCTGTTCACCCTGCTACCATCTAAAGGAGGAACCCCTAGGCCTGTTCACCCCTGCTACCATCTAGAAGGAGGGGACCTACAGGGCCTGTTTCACACCCCTGCTACCATCTAAAGGGGTAGACCTACAGTGGGCCCCGTTCCACCCTTCTTTCCCTAAAAAACAAATACAGTAACTGTTTCCCCCCTTCTAATTAAAGAGTTAAACATACAGGGCCTTCACCCCCCTGCTACTCAACAAAAGGGAGACCTCAGGCCGTTCACCTGCCTCTGAAGGAGGAGACACTACAGGGGCCTGTTCAACACTGCACATTAGAAAGGGTGACACTACACCTTTTCAACCCTCGCTCACTCTAAAGGGAGAACACTACAGGCCTTTCACCCTCTTACCATCTAGAAAGGAAACTAAAAGGCGCAAACCCCGATACATTAAAAGAGAAACTACAGGGGTGTTACCTGCAACCATTAAAGGAGACACTACAGGCCTTCACCTCTAAAACCATCTAGAAGGAGAACAACTACAGGGCTTTCCCCCAAAGAACATCTAAAAGGGGAAAAAACCCAACACACCTTTCCACCACAACACCCTAAAAGCTACACTAAAACACAAAGGCTTATGGACCAAGATAAAACCCTTCTATTTTCAAAGCCACAACTGTTAATAGTCCCCATTTCAACCGGCCTCCAACCATACCCTGCCCCTCCCCGAACCTTTTTCCCCCGTATAAGGCTACCCAGGCTTCTCTCCTGCACCTTAGAGACTGCTGCCCTATGCACATAGACATGGAACACTGGACACTTTAATAATAATATAATATGCCATTTAGCAGACGCTTTTATCCAAAGCGACTTACAGTCATGCGTGCATAAATGTTTGGTCCCGGGGATCGAACCCACTACCTTGGCGTTACAAGCGCCGTTCTCTACCAGCTGAACTACAGAGGACCACAGAGTTTACATACTGTTTTACCCACTTCATATGTACAATTGAAGTCAGAAGTTTACATACACCTTAGCCAAATACATTTAAACTCAGTTTTTCACAATTCCTGACATTTAATCCTAGTAAAAATTCCCTGTCTTAGGTCAGTTATGATTACCATATTATTTTAAGAATGTGAAATGTCAGAATAATAGTAGAGAGAATGATTTATTTGAGCTTTTATTTCTTTCATCACATTCCGAGTGGGTCAGAAGTTTACATACACTCAATTAGTATTTGGTAGCATTGCCTTTAAATTGTTTAACTTGGGTCAAACATTTCGGGTAGCCTTCCACAAGCTTCCCACAATAAGTTGGGTGAATTTTCGGCCCATTCCTCCTGACAGAGCTGGTGTAACTGAGTCAGGTTTGTAGGCCTCCTTGCTCGCACACGCTTTTTCAGTTCTGCCCACACATTTTCTATAGAATTGAGGTCAGGGCTTAGTGATGGCCACTCCAATACCTTGACTTTGTTGTCCTTAAGCAATTTTGCCACAACTTGTTAAGTATGCTTGGGGTCATTGTCCATTTGGAAGACCCATTTGCGACCAAGCTTTAACTTCCTGACTGATGTCTTGAGATGTTGCTTCAATATATCCACATAATTTTCCAAACATAACGATGGTCATTATGGCCAAACAGTTCTATTTTTGTTTCATCAGACCAGAGGACAATTCTCCAAAAAGTACGATCTTTGTCCCCATGTGCAGTTGCAAACCGTAGTCTGGCTTTTTTATTGCGGTTTTGGAGCAGTGGCTTCTTCCTTGCTGAGCGGCCTTTCAGGTTATGTGGATATAGGACTCGTTTTACTGTGGATATAGATACTTTTGTACCTGTTTCCTCCAGCATCTTCACAAGGTCCTTTACTGTTGTTCTGGGATTTATTTGCACTTTTCGCACCAAAGTACGTTCATCTCTAGGAGACAGAACGCGTCTCCTTCCTGAGCGGTATGACGGCTGCGTGGTCCCATGGTGATATACTTACGTACTATTGTTTGTACAGATGAATGTGGTACCTTCTGGCGTTTGGAATTTGCTCCCAAGGATGAACCAGACTTGTGGAGGTCTACAATTTTTTTTCTGAGGTCTTGGCTGATTTCTTTTGATTTTCCCATGATGTCAAGCAAAGAGGCACTGGGTTTGAAGGTAGGCCTTGAAATACATCCACAGGTGCACCTCCAATTGACTCAAATGATGTCAATTAGCCTATCAGAAGCTTCTAAAGCCATGACATCATTTTTTGGAATTTCCCAAGCTGTTTAAAGGCACAGTCAACTTAGTGTATGTAAACTTCTGACCCCCTGGAATTGTGATACAGTGAATTATAAGTGAAATAATCTGTCTGTAAACAATTGTTGGAAAATTACTTGTGTCCTAACCGACTTGCCAAAACTATAGTTTGTTAACAAGAAATTTGTGGAGTGGTTAAAAAACGAGTTTTAATGACGCCAACCTAAGTGTATGTAAACCTCCGAATTCAACTGTATATACTGTATTCTAGACAAGACTCATCCTATAGCATTACTGCTGTACATACCTTTTCTATTCATATACTGTCCATACTGTCTATACACACCATCAAATACATATATATTTATATCCCGGACTCTGACATTGTTCGTTCTGATATTTCTAGATTTCTTAATTCCTCTCTTTTTATTTTTTGGGATTTGTGTGTATTGTTTTGTATTGTTAGGTAGGAACATAAGCATTTCACTGCACCTGCGATAAGATCTGCAAAATGTGTATACACTACCAGTCAAAAGTTTGGACACACCTATTCATTCCAGGGTTTTTCTTAATTTTTTACTATTTTCTACATTGTAGAATAATAGTAAAGACATCAAAACTATGAAATAACACATATGGAATCATGTAGTAACCAAAAAAGTGTTAAACAAATCAAAATATATTTTTATATTTGAGATTCTTCAAAGTAGCCACCCTTTGCCTTGATTACAGCTTTGCACACTCTTGGCATTCTCTCAACCAGCTTCATGAGGTAGTCACCTGGAATGCATTTCAATTAAACAGGTGTGCCTTCTTAAAAGTTAATTTGTGGAATTTCTTTCCTTCTTAATGCCTTTGAGCCAATCAGTTGTGTTGTGACAAGGTAGGGGGTGTATACAGAAGATAGCCCTATTTGGTAAAAGGCCAAGTTCATATTTTTGGCAAGAACAGCTCAAAGAAGCAAAAGAGAAACAACAGTCCATCATTACTTTAAGACATGAAGGTCAGTCAATCCGGAACATTTCAATAACTTTTTAAGTTTCTTCAAGTGCAGTCGCAAAAACCATCAAAGCGCTATAATGAAACTGGCTCTCATGAGGACCGCCACAGGAAAGGAAGATCCATAGTTACTTCTGCTGCAGAGGATAAGTTCATTAGAGTTACCAGCCTCAGATATTGCAGCCCAAATAAATGCTTCACAGAGTTCAAGTAACAGACACATCTCAACATCAACTGTTCAGAGGAGACTGCGTGAATCAGGCCTTCATGGTCGGATTGCTGCAAAGAAACCACTACTAAAGGACACCAATAAGAAGAAGAGACCTGCTTGGGCCAAGAAACACAAGCAATGGACATTAGACCAGTGGAAATCTGTCCTTTGGTCTGATGAGTCAACATTTTAGATTTTTGGTTCCAACCGGCGTGTTTTTGTGAGACAAGGTGTGGGTGAACGGGATGATCTCCGCATGTGTATTTCCCACCGTAAAGCATAGAGGGGGAGGTGGTCCCATGTAGCTCAGTTGGTAGAGCATGGCGTTTGCAATGCCAGGGTTGTGGGTTCAATTCCCACGGGGGGCCAGTATGATTTTTTATTTTTTTTATAATGTATGCACTCACTAACTGTAAGTCGCTCTGGATAAGAGCGTCTGCTAAATGACTAAATTGTCAAAATGAAAAATGACTAAAATGTGTTATGGTGTTATGTGTTATGGTGTGGGGGTGCTTTGCTGGTGACACTGTCTGTGATTTATGTAGAATTCAAGGCACACTTAACCTTCTGCAGCGATACGCCATCCTATCTGGTTTGCGCTTAGTGGGACTATAATTTGTTTTTCAACAGGACAATGACTCAACACACCTCCAGGCTGTGTAAGGGCTATTTTAACAAGAAGGATAGTGATGGAGTGCTGCATCAGATGACCTGGCCTCCCTTTTACTCCCCAATTTCGATCTTGTCTCATCGCTGCAACTCTCCAACGGGCTCGGGGGGCAAAAGTCAAGTCATGCGTCCTCCGAAACGTGACCCACCAAACTGCGCTTCTTAACACCCGCTTAACCCGGAAACCAGCCGCACCAATGTGTCGGAGGAAACACCGTTCACCTGACGACCAAGGTCAGCCTGCAGGCGCCCGGCCCACCACAAGGAGTCGCTAGAGCGCGTTGAGCCAAGTAAAGCCCCCCCAGCCATACCCTCCCTTAACCCGGACGACGCTGGGCCAATTGTGCGCCGCCCTATGGGACTCCCAATCACAGCCGGTTGTGATACAGCCCAGGATCAAACCCAGGTCTGTAGTGATGCCTCTAGCACTGCGATGCAGTGCCTTAGACCACTGTGCCACTCGGGAGGCTCGACCAATATAATTGGATTTGATTGGTATGCAGTGATGAACAATATTTCATAGGATAGAGATACTTTGGAAACAGAGACATGATTTTCTCCATCTGTACACTTGTTGTCTGTTGCTTGGTATGCAGTGATGAACATTGTTTCTTTCACAGGGCTATATAAAACCATTTATCTGGAGAGAGATGTGATTACTGAGATTCAGCCTCCTCCCTAGATGAACTGTTTATTGTGCCATCATACCCCAGGGCCAACCAGCCTCTCCCATCCTCTCTCGCTCTCTCTCTCTCTCTCTGTGTGTCTCTCTCTCTCTCCTCCTCTTCTCTCCTCCCTCCCTCCATCTCTCTCTCTCTCCTCCTCTTCTCTCCTCCCTCCCTCCATCTCTCTCTCTCTCTCTCTCTGTGTCTCTCTCTCTCTCCTCCTCTTCTCTCCTCCCTCCAACTCTCCTCCCTGCACCTCATCTCATTCAACAGATCAACATATTAAAAACACAGCACGAACATATTAAAAACACAGCACCAACATCAAACAACATCAAACAACATCAAATTCCCCCTCAGGAGACTAAAAAGATTTGGCATGGGTCCTCAGATCCTCAAAAAATTCTACAGCTGCACCATCGAGAGCATCCTGACTGGTTGCATCACCGCCTGGTATGGCAACTGCTTGGCCTCTGACCGCAAGGCACTACAGAGGGTAGTGCGTACGGCCCAGTACATCACTGGGGCAAAGCTCCCTGCCATCCAGGACCTCTATACCAGGCGGTGTCAGAGGAAGGCCCTCAAAATTGTCAAAGACTCCAGCCACCCTAGTCATAGACTGTTCTCTCTGCTACCGCACGGCAAGCGGTACCGGAGTGCCAAGTCTAGGTCCAAAAGACTTCTCAACAGCTTCTACCCCCAAGCCATAAGACTCCTGAACAGCTAATCATGGCTACCCGGACTATTTGCACTGCCCCCCCACCCCATCCTTTTTACGCTGCTGCTACTCTGTTAAGTATTTATGCATAGTCACTTTAACTCTACCCCACATGTACATATTACCTCAACTACCTCAACTAGCCGGTGCCCCCGCACATTGACTATGCAACGGTACCCCCCCTGTATATATAGCCTCCCTACTGTCACTTTATTTTACTGTATATATAGCCTCCCTACTGTCACTTTATTTTACTTCTGCTCTTTTTTCTCAACACTTTTTTGTTGTTGTTTTATTCTTACTTTTTTGTTTAAAATAAATGCACTGTTGGTTAAGGGCTGTAAGTAAGCATTTCACTGTAATGTCTGCACCTGTTGTATTCGGCGCATGTGACCAATAAAATTTGATTTGATTTGATTTGATTTGAAACACCCAGCTAATTAATTCAATCTAAACGCTGGAGGATGTAGTTAGTATGTAATAAAGGTGTGGTTGAGGTGTTACTATGTAATATCATAATAAAGGTGTGGTTGAGGTGTTACTGTGGAATATCATAATAAAGATGTGGTTGAGGTGTTACTGTGGAATATCATAATAAAGGTGTGGTTGAGGTGTTACTATGTAATATCATAATAAAGGTGTGGTTGAGGTGTTACTGTGGAATATCATAATAAAGGTGTGGTTGAGGTGTTACTGTGGAATATCATAATAAAGGTGTGGTTGAGGTGTCACTATGTAATATCATAATAAAGGTGTGGTTGAGGTGTAACTGTGGAATATCATAATAAAGGTGTGGTTGAGGTGTTACTGTGGAATATCATAATAAAGGTGTGGTTGAGGTGTAACTGTGTAATATCATAATAAAGGTGTGGTTGAGGTGTAACTGTGGAATATAAAAATAAAGGTGTGGTTGAGGTGTTACTGTGGAATATCATAATAAAGGTGTGGTTGAGGTGTTACTGTGGAATATCATAATAAAGGTGTGGTTGAAGTGTTACTGTGGAATATCATAATAAAGGTGTGGTTGAGGTGTAACTGTGGAATATAATAATAAAGGTGTGGTTGAGGTGTAACTGTGTAATATCATAATAAAGGTGTGGTTGAGGTGTAACTGTGTAATATAATAATAAAGGTGTGGTTGAGGTGTTACTGTGGAATATCATAATAAAGGTGTGGTTGAGGTGTAACTGTGGAATATCATAATAAAGGTGTGGTTGAGGTGTTACTGTGGAATATCATAATAAAGGTGTGGTTGAGGTGTTACTGTGTAATACCATAATAAAGGTGTGGTTGAGGTGTTACTGTGGAATATCATAATAAAGGTGTGGTTGAGGTGTCACTGTGTAATATCATAATAAAGGTGTGGTTGAGGTGTTACTGTGTAATATCATAATAAAGGTGTGGTTGAGGTGTAACTGTGTAATATCATAATAAAGGTGTGGTTGAGGTGTTACTGTGTAATATCATAATAAAGGTGTGGTTGAGGTGTAACTGTGGAATATCATAATAAAGGTGTGGTTGAGGTGTTACTGTGGAATATCATAATAAAGGTGTGGTTGAGGTGTTACTGTGTAATACCATAATAAAGGTGTGGTTGAGGTGTTACTGTGGAATATCATAATAAAGGTGTGGTTGAGGTGTCACTGTGGAATATCATAATAAAGGTGTGGTTGAGGTGTTACTGTGTAATATCATAATAAAGGTGTGGTTGAGGTGTAACTGTGTAATATCATAATAAAGGTGTGGTTGAGGTGTTACTGTGTAATATCATAATAAAGGTGTGGTTGAGGTGTAACTGTGGAATATCATAATAAAGGTGTGGTTGAGGTGTTACTGTGTAATATCATAATAAAGGTGTGGTTGAGGTGTAACTGTGGAATATCATAATAAAGGTGTGGTTGAGGTGTTACTGTGGAATATCATAATAAAGGTGTGGTTGGGGTGTAACTATGTAATATCATAATAAAGGTGTGGTTGAGGTGTAACTGTGGAATATCATAATAAAGGTGTGGTTGAGGTGTTACTGTGGAATATCATAATAAAGGTGTGGTTGAGGTGTTACTGTGTAATATCATAATAAAGGTGTGGTTGAGGTGTTACTGTGGAATATCATAATAAAGGTGTGGTTGAGGTGTTACTGTGGAATATCATAATAAAGGTGTGGTTGAGGTGTTACTGTTGAATATCATAATAAAGGTGTGGTTGAGGTGTAACTGTGGAATATCATAATAAAGGTGTGGTTGAGGTGTTACTGTGGAATATCATAATAAAGGTGTGGTTGAGGTGTTACTGTGGAATATCATAATAAAGGTGTGGTTGAGGTGTTACTGTGGAATATCATAATAAAGGTGTGGTTGAGGTGTTACTGTGGAATATCATAATAAAGGTGTGGTTGAGGTGTTACTGTGGAATATCATAATAAAGGTGTGGTTGAGGTGTTACTGTGGAATATCATAATAAAGGTGTGGTTGAGGTGTTACTGTGGAATATCATACATGAAGAGGGAATGCATCATCCTATCCTCCAGTTACTGTATCAACACAGAGGAAAGATTACTTTGGATTTAGGAAGAAAAGAAGCCTAGTTGTATACCTAGTTTTTACACGTGTATGTGTGTATGTGTGTGTGTATGTGTGTGTATGTGTGTATGTGTGTGTGTGTGTGTGTGTGTGTGTGTGTGTGTGTGTGTGTACAGTGGGGAAAAAAAGTATTTAGTCAGCCACCAATTGTGCAAGTTCTCCCACTTAAAAAGATGAGAGAGGCCTGTAATTTTCATCATAGGTACACGTCAACTATGACAGACAAATTGAGAAAAAAAAATCCAGAAAATCACATTGTAGGATTTTTTATGAATTTATTTGCAAATTATGGTGGAAAATAAGTATTTGGTCACCTACAAACAAGCAAGATTTCTGGCTCTCACAGACCTGTAACTTCTTCTTTAAGAGGCTCCTCTGTCCTCCACTCGTTACCTGTATTAATGGCACCTGTTTGAACTTGTTATCAGTATAAAAGACACCTGTCCACAATCTCAAACAGTCACACTCCAAACTCCACTATGGCCAAGACCAAAGAGCTGTCAAAGGACACCAGAAACAACATTGTAGACCTGCACCAGGCTGGGAAGACTGAATCTGCAATAGGTAAGCAGCTTGGTTTGAAGAAATCAACTGTGGGAGCAATTATTAGGAAATGGAAGACATACAAGACCACTGATAATCTCCCTCGATCTGGGGCTCCACGCAAGATCTCACCCCGTGGGGTCAAAATGATCACAAGAACGGTGAGCAAAAATCCCAGAACCACACGGGGGGACCTAGTGAATGACCTGCAGAGAGCTGGGACCAAAGTAACAAAGCCTACCATCAGTAACACACTACGCCGCCAGGGACTCAAATCCTGCAGTGCCAGACGTGTCCCCCTGCTTAAGCCAGTACATGTCCAGGCCCGTCTGAAGTTTGCTAGAGTGCATTTGGATGATCCAGAAGACGATTGGGAGAATGTCAGATGAAACCAAAATAGAACTTTTTGGTAAAAACTCAACTCGTCGTGTTTGGAGGACAAAGAATGCTGAGTTGCATCCAAAGAACACCATACCTACTGTGAAGCATGGGGGTGGAAACATCATGCTTTGGGGCTGTTTTTCTGCAAAGGGACCAGGACGACTGATCCGTGTAAAGGAAAGAATGAATGGGGCCATGTATCGTGAGATTTTGAGTGAAAACCTCCTTCCATCAGCAAGGGCATTGAAGATGAAACGTGGCTGGGTCTTTCAGCATGACAATGATCCCAAACACACCGCCCGGGCAACGAAGGAGTGGCTTCGTAAGAAGCATTTCAAGGTCCTGGAGTGGCCTAGCCAGTCTCCAGATCTCAACCCCGTAGAAAATCTTTGGAGGGAGTTGAAAGTATGTGTTGCCCAGCGACAGCCCCAAAACATCACTGCTCTAGAGGAGATCTGTATGGAGGAATGGGCCAAAATACCAGCAACAGTGTGTGAAAACCTTGTGAAGACTTACAGAAAACGTTTGACCTGTGTCATTGCCAACAAAGGGTATACAACAAAGTATTGAGAAAGTTTTGTTATTGACCAAATACTTATTTTCCACCATAATTTGCAAATAAATTCATTAAAAATCCTACAATGTGATTTTCTGGATTTTTTTTTCTCATTTTGTCTGTCATAGTTGACGTGTACCTATGATGAAAATTACAGGTCTCTCTCATCTTTTTATGTGTGAGAACTTGCACAGTTGGTGGCTGACTAAATACTTTTGTTCCCCACTGTATGTGTATGTGTATGTGTGTGTATGTGTATGTGGATGTGTGTATGTGTATGTATGTGCGTATGTGTGTGTGTGTATGTGTGTGTGTGTATGTGTGTTTGTGTATGTGTGTATCCGTGTATGTGTGTGTGTGTGTGTGTGTGTGTGTGTGTGTGTGTGTGTGTATGTGTGTATTATTTTTATTTTTTATTTATTTAACCTTTATTTAACTAGGCAAGTCAGTTAAGAACAAATTCTTATTTGCAATGACGGCCTACACCGGCCAAACCCGGACGACGCTGGGCCAATTGTGTGTATGTGTGTGTACGTGCGTGGCTGCGTGCTTCTATCTATAGCTGTGTGTCTTTGTGTGTGTCATCCCAATAGCCTACCTTCTATATATATAGCTGTGTGTCTTTGTGTGTGTCATCCCAATAGCCCACCTTCTATATATATAGCTGTGTGTCTTTGTGTGTGTCATGCCAATAGCCTACCTTCTATATATAGGGTTGTGGGTTCGATTCCCACGGGGGGCCAGTATAAAAAAATATGTATTCACTAACTGTAAGTCGCTCTGGATAAGAGCGTCTGCTAAATGACTAAAATGTAAATGTAAATATAGCTGTGTGTCTTTGTGTATGTCATGCCAATAGCCCACCTTCTATATATATAGCTGTGTGTCTTTGTGTGTGTCATCCCAATAGCCTACCTTCTATATATATAGCTGTGTGTCTTTGTGTGTGTCATCCCAATAGCCTACCTTCTATATATATAGCTGTGTGTCTTTGTGTGTGTCATCCCAATAGCCCACCTTCTATATATATAGCTGTGTGTCTTTGTGTGTGTCATCCCAATAGCCTACCTTCTATCTATAGCTGTGTGTCTTTGTGTGTGTCATCCCAATAGCCTACCTTCTATATATATAGCTGTGTGTCTTTGTGTGTGTCATCCCAATAGCCTACCTTCTATCTATAGCTGTGTGTCTTTGTGTGTGTCATCCCAATAGCCTACCTTCTATATATATAGCTGTGTGTCTTTGTGTGTGTCATCCCAATAGCCTACCTTCTATATATATAGCTGTGTGTCTTTGTGTATGTCATGCCAATAGCCTACCTTCTTGTACGCGATCCAGTCGAACACTCTGTCTATGTCTGTGGCGTCGTACACCTCCTGAGAGATAGGATGGGAGCTGGCCAGACCATCCAGCAGCATCACCTCATGCAGAACATCAGTCAGGAAACGCTGTTTCTCCTGGGGGGGTCACAGGGTCACAGGTCAAAGGTCAGAGAGGTCGATGATACACAACTACTACAGGGAAGTTTTTAAGACACAGGTCTCACTTGGGAAAGAGGTCTTCTGACCTCAATGGGACTACATGGATAAATAAAGAGTTCTTCTGATCTCAATGGGACTACATGGTTGAATAAAGACGTCTTCTGACCTTAATGGAACTACTTGGTTGAATAAAGGTTAGAAAGAGACAACGTTATAAAACTTAGGTAAATGTATGTATTTAGGTCATGTTTGGGTAAACTCAGGGGGTTCCAGGTAACTGTATTTTCCTGTGTACGTAATAATGATCGAACTCATCCTACTGAGGACGATGGGGGATAATTCCTTTCAACGAGTCTGAGGAATGCTTGATTTCAATATAATCCATTAATCCAAGATAATTATTATTCTAATGTGATGAGAGCTCATCGAAATGCACTAACACCCCAAACATTTACAAGAAAAAACGTCTTGGTAATCGAAATAATCCCACACTGAAGTAATCCATACTTCACACCTCTTCATTACATTATATTCCTCTAAATGGAGTTCTTATTGTATACCATTATATTCCTCTAAATGGAGTTCTTATTGTATACCATTATATTCCTCTAAATGGAGTTATTATTGTATACCATTATATTCCTCTTAATGGAGTTCTTATTGTATACCATTATATTCCTCTAAATGGAGTTCTTATTGTATACCATTATATTCCTCTAAATGGAGTTATTATTGTATACCATTATATTCCTCTAAATGGAGTTCTTATTGTATAACATATTCCTCTTAATGGAGTTCTTATTGTATAACATTATATTCCTCTAAATGGAGTTCTTATTGTATACCATTATATTCCTCTAAATGGAGTTCTTATTGTATACCATTATATTCCTCTAAATGGAGTTATTATTGTATAACATTATATTCCTCTTAATGGAGTTCTTATTCTATACCATTATATTCCTCTTAATGGAGTTCTTATTCTATACCATTATATTCCTCTAATTGGAGTTCTTATTGTATAACATATTCCTCTTAATGGAGTTCTTATTGTATAACATTATATTCCTCTAAATGGAGTTCTTATTGTATACCATTATATTCCTCTTAATGGAGTTCTTACTGTATACCATTATATTCCTCTTAATGGAGTTCTTATTGTATAACATTATATTCCTCTTAATGGAGTTCTTATTGTATAACATTATATTCCTCTAAATGGAGTTCTTATTGTATAACATTATATTCCTCTTAATGGAGTTCTTATTGTATAACATTATATTCCTCTTAATGGTGTTCTTTATAACTATAACTGGTTTCTCCTTATAACTATCCAGTTAAACTAGATGTTTACAACAGACAACATAGTGGTTATTATTTCAACAGGTGATTTGTAAAACATCCTTCGAGAGCTCTGGTCTCTTCCTAGTCTCCACAGCATCAATGACGCTACACCGCAGCACGGCTGTTCTCCTAATACCGAATGGGTTCAATCTTTCAATCTTGTACTACTGTTACAATAGCGTCCAATAGGAATAGCTAAGTCTCCTGTTCTCCCTCGATGACTATTCTTGGTTCTTTCCTATTTTCTTTTAGCGGAAAATAAAAAACCTTATAATGAAATGTTCCACTTTCTGGGGGGTTGTGAGTTAGATCACGATGATATGTCTTACAAGTCAGATGATGGAAGCAGTTTGTGTGAACCCAACTCAGACATGAACATTAAACTTTAACTTTTGTTCTGGAAGAGAGAAGTCGGCAGAAATAAGACATCACAGATCGTGTATTGATTCTTAAAAAAAGTAATTAAACCTTTAATATGCAATACTGAATTGTGCTAATTGTGCAAAACTAGATATTTCTCTATGGATGAGGAGACAGATGCTGTAGAAATATATCTACTGAAGTAAATGTTGGCCTGAATATCCTTGCTGCGTGCCATCTTTCCACGTCTTGATGAAACAATAACAAAACAAAACATCTCTCTCAATGGAAAAAACAAACAAGTTGATTCTGATTCAGGAGTTGATCATTATTCAAAGCAACACAAAGCAAATTTAGGGTGAAATTACCTCTAATAGAAATGTTCAGAACACTAGGTAATATATAATTACCCTTTGATAATACCAGGGGTAGCGTTCAGTGGTTTTGTTTTGTAGTCTTTCAAAGACATTAAGTATTCCATATTCTTTTGATTACAATATAGAAGGGATGCTGTAACCAGATAATAATAATGTTTGCATCCCTGGTCAAAAGTAGTGCACTATATAGGGAATAGGGTGTCATTCTCTGGTCTAAAGTAGTGCCCTATATAGGGAATAGGGTGTCATTCCTGGTCCAAAGTAGTGCCTATATAGGGAATAGGGTGTCATTTGGGATGCAGTCAATAACAATGTCTGTTGCCTCACGTGAGTAAACAATTCTATTGCCTAATTTTTTACAATCAATCGCTATGGCCAAACGGCAGTTATTTTACGTTTGAGAATACGTTTAGAGTTTAAATTCTGTCTATATTCCTGTCGGGAAAAAATGGAATGTGATGTTATGGCTAGCAGGATAAACAGTGTGATGTTATGGCTAGCAGGAAAAACAGTGTGATGTTATGGCTAGCAGGATAAACAGTGTGATGTTATGGATAGCAGGAAAAACAGTGTGATGTTATGGCTAGCAGGATAAACAGTGTGATGTTATGGATAGCAGGATAAACAGTGTGATGTTATGGCTAGCAGGAGAAACAGTGTGATGTTATGGATAGCAGGATAAACAGTCATCTAAACTGTTAAAGGGGTTTTAAAAACCATTCTAATAAATGCAACAGTTGGACAATGGATGAAGATACTACAAACGTTTATAATTTGTATAATCCATCAGATATTGACTGAATTACAGCACATAAAACATTTTCACTGGAACGGACAAATAATTAATTTATTAGTTGAGTTCAGGTATTGTGGTGGGAATTCAGGTATTCCATTTATTGTGAAATGTCACTTTTTTATTTTTTCTGAAAATGCACTCATATATACATTTTCTTATTCTATCAGGTATTTAGTAAAAATATTTTGTGTTAAAATAAAGACAATTATATTTGCCTCATTTGCATAAATACACAGGGTATATTTGCATATATGAAATAATTAACAAAAAGGGGTGGAACCACCAAAACAGTGGCTCTGTCTAGGCCTACCTGCACTCACCTGTACTGTCTAGACTGCCTCATTAATTATTGTCGTTCTATTGGATAATTCAACAAGCGTGTCAATAGAAGGACACCCTCGGTTTACAAATCTACATGCTACTAGCAGCGTCTGGAGTGCAGAGTGCAGCGTCTCGATATGGTCTGGACCCTCTAGCTCAGTCAACTCTATCTGGCTGTACACAAAGAATAAAGCACTGACATTATATCATCTGTCACAGAGAAAGACATGGAGGAGGGAGGGAGGAGGGAGGGAGGGAAGGAAGGAAGGAATGAGAGAGAAAGAGAAGAAGAAGGATAGAGAGAGAGAGAGAGAGCGCTTAGAGCGAGAGGAGATAGAGCGTAGAGAAGTAGAGAACCAGAGAGACCAGAGAAGAACACATAGCACCAGATCTAGAGTGACATTTTTGACCCTCTAATGCAGTGCGGATGTCACGAAAGTCACATAACTGCTCTATGAAATGAGTTAACAGAACTCTCCATCTGGACCATATGTGTTCTCAACATGAGGTTTAGTCCTGGTCATATTTCATTTGGGTTATTCTCTCTCTCTGCACTGCCACTGTATTAAGACTGCTATACCTCAGCACTGGGTCGCTGGGCGGTCGGGTCTTGCCTGGAAGTTTTTGTGCAACCACCACACACACCACACACACACACCACACACACACACACACACACACACACACAACCACACACACACATACACCACACACACACCCGCCACCTCCGACTTTCACATGTCTTCACCTCAGGAAGTCAATCGTCAAATAAAAAGGAACAGGG